AATTGCGAGCTTGGTCCGAATGCAATTCTAACGGTACACCAAATCGACAGATCCATTCCTTTACTAAGGCATCGGCTCTCGTAGAGGCTTCCTGATTTGGTACAGTGTATGCCTCAACCCACTTGCTGAACTAATCCATTACCACAATGATGTATTTATTCCCTGCTTCAGTGGGCCCCACCACATCAATAGCAATCCTTTCAAAGGGGGTCCCCACGTTGTTTTGGTGCATCGAAGCTTTTGGTTTCCTTTTCAGTCCATTACTTGTCGCACACAATACATTTTCTGCACCAGTCTTTTACGTCCGCCTTGCTATTGACCCAGTAAAATTTTTCCCTCACTTTTTCCAGGGTTTTTGTAACTCCGAGATGACCTCCTGAATGGACTTCTTCTAGCAGGTCCCGGATCCGACGTATGGGGATAACGATTTGCCTTCTTGCCTCTTTGCCATCGTGGTCTACCATTTGACGCAGTAACAGTCCGTCGTCCATAACTAGAGAATTCCGTTGTGTCCAATATGATTTTATGATAGGGGAATACTTGTCAACTTCTTCCCTGGCTGGTTTCCGTTGCTCTTTCACCCAGTTAAGAATTATTTGATGATTGGGGTCGCCCTCTTGGTCTTTAATGAGGTCTTCGTTTTGCCAAGTATCACTAACGATAGTGTTTCTTAATATTTGGGCATCTTTCTCCTCTGCCCGCTGGCAATGCTTACAGTCCTCTAAACAGGGTCTCCTTGATAAGGCATCTGTACTTCCATGGATTTTTCCGGCTCGATATTTGATCAAACTCTTGCAGCCTCTCTATCCATCTTGCAACTTGACCCTCTGGATTCCTAAACTGGGGAAGCCATTTTAAAGCTGCGTGATCGATCCGGAGTAAGAATTTTCTGCCATATAGGTATTTGTAGAAATGTTCCATTGCCTTTACGATGGCCAGCAACTCCCTCCGGGTAACGCAATAGTTACGCTCAGGTTTGGACAGTGTTTTGCTAAAATAGCCAATGACCTTTTCTTTTTTGCCTTCCTGTACTCAAACATTCCTTCTGGCAGTGGACAGCTGAGTATAGGGGCGCTTGTTAAAGCTTCTTTCAAGTGGGTAAAAGCTTGTTGGCAATCCTGATCCCATTGGAATTTGCGTTCCCCTTGTGTCAGCCTGGTCAATGGCTTTGCGATGTTAGCAGATCCTAGAAAGCTGCATAGCACTCGTTTGTCCTTCGGAGCTCGCCATTCTTTTACAGTCTGTATTTTCTCCTTGTCGACCGTGACTCTCTGATTGGAAACAACATGGCCAAGGTACTGCACAGCTCTTTGAAACAGGTGGCATTTCTTTGGGCTTAATTTCAAGCCTCAACCTCGTAGCCTTAAGAAAACTTCCTCTAGGTTCTTCATGTGGTCTCCAAATGATTTTCCCATCACAATAATGTCATCAAGGTAAACCATTCACGTCTTCCAGGATAGTCCACTAAGAATCGTATTAATTAGCCTCTCAAAGGGGGCAGGAGTATTGCACATGCTGAATCGCATCACATTAAACTTCCATAATCCGGTGCCCACCGTGAATGCTGTCTTCTCCTGATCTTCAGGGGCCAATTCTTCTTGCCAGCATCCGCTTTTCAGATCTAGGGTGGACAAAATTTCTGATCTAGCCAGGATATGCAGAGTGTCATCAATACGCGGTAGACGGTAGCTGTGATTCTTGATCACGCTGTTTAAGATACGGTAGTCCACACAAAATCTGGTTGAATCATCTTTCTTTTTAACCAAAAACTACCGGTGAGGACCATGGACTGTTGGACGGTTCAATGATTCCCTCATTGGCCATACTGTCTACTATCTTGTCAGCCTCATCTCTTTTAGCAAGTGGGAGCCTTTTTGCCATCTGCCTGATGGGACGGATATTTTCCGTATTGATTTTGTGCTGGGCTATATTGGTTCTTCCTTTCTGTCCAGTATCGAATACATCCCGATATCTATGTATTAGATGTTTTAGTTTCTTTCTTTGGTCTGGTCTTAGATCTCTGCCTGATAACGATATTAGTTCTTCCAGTTCCTTAGGAATGACCCCAGAGTTTTCCACAGCTGGCATACTTCGATTGATTGCAGAAACTGGACAGCAGTGTCCCCGCTCCGAGCCCTTCTTGAATGACACTGAGTAACGGCTGACATTCATTAGTCTCACAGGAATAGTTTTATCGGCACGCACAAGGACCTTTGCAACTGCTATCCCTCAGCCAATAGCTTCGTCATGCATCCTAGGTTCAAACATTTCTCCGTCTGTAGTCTGGCCATCTACCGAGCCATTCAATACTACTTCGCTTCGTTCTAGGATCACGGTGTCTTCAGGCAATGGAACTTGTACGTTTCCATACCTTTCTCGGTGTAAAATGACCTCCTCGTTGTTGACTCAAGATTTCTTGCTTAAAGTTTGACTCGAAGCCCTTTGTGTCTATGGTGTCCATTCCGATGATTGCTACTTCCTCAATATCAGCTACTATCACCGGATATTCGAATGCAGATTTTTCCTATTCCAAATGCGATGTTTACTTCACCGTACACGTTTGCTCGGTCTCCCGTCGCCGTTCGTAGTCATCATTTGGATGGTCGAATCTTCGCCGATGCGTTCTCCATGTCGGAGCTTATGATAGCCGTTGTCGCACCTGTATCCAGCAGTACGATATGGAAGGTCCCATCCACAAAAGCATCGACAAAGACACTATTAGACTGATGTTTGAGCGAGGAGACTTGGGCGGTATCAACTGATAGGGCGTATTGATTACAGATCGCCGATAGCCCCTTTACATCGACCTCCCTTAGTTTTCCGGATTGGCCGGACGAGGACTGGCACCTTCAGGACAGCGTTTCCAACATTCCAACTTGCTGTACTGGCGGCGATGTTTATTATCAAGTTCCTTAACAATGCGTTTGACGGACTCTTCGAACTCGTTATCTCCTGGTACCATCTAGCGGACTCGAACCTGGCTTTTATTTGTGTTTTTATCGGCCCGAGTTAGCGCATCTTCTAGCGTAGGTGGATGTGCTTGTAGTAAGTCTTGCCTGATTTCACCATCACGAAATCCAACCAGGCATGCTTGAACTGTCAATCGCTGCATTATTATTTCCTGGACATCGGGATATGCGTACCAATCGCACAATATCCGCTTCGAACTCCTGCATGGACTCGCCTGACCTCTGAAACCGATTCTTTAGTTGAGTATGGTAGACATGTTCTAAATGTGACTGGCCGTATCGCATCTCCAAATGTCCTACTAGATGTTCGTGGACCTTTTGCAGTTCGGGTGATATTCTTTGAAGAATAGCTGCAGCATCTCCTCGCAGGGCCAAAGTGAGTGAGCCTTTTCCGTCGATGACCAACCATTTGCATTCGCGGCTGCCTCAAACTAACGCCAGTAGACACTCCAAGACGTTGTACCATCGAATTGCGGCGGTTTCATTCGCAGATGGCCAGCTGATCCAACAAAGCTCCAACCTCACTTGATTTTTTCAACGGAAGTCCACGCTGTCGTTGATCGATGGTCTTGACATCTAAAGCGGCAAACTATAAAATCTTTTTTTTCCAACTCGCAAGGTTTTTCCATAATTTTATCTTCCAACTCTTTTTTAAATTGGCGGTATTTTCCAAAAAAATTTCTTTTGATTTGGCTGTACTTTCGTGTAACCCCAAGACTTTTCCATCTAGATTGTCACAATTTTCCATGAGCTTTCCTTCTAGGTTGGCACAATATTCCACAATTCTATTTTCTAACTTGGCTGAGTTTTCTAAAAGATGAGCAGAATTTTCCATGAGCTTGTTTTCTAACTTGGTCGAAAGGCTTTTCAGCATTAAACCAATACCCCTGCACCGATAAAAATGAATTTATCTGGGTAGTGGCCTCCCTCAATCAATGCAATTTTCAAATCAACCAATCGCGCCATTCTTTCTTCACTGATGATGAATGTCCAATAATTGACACCCCACACGTGAAACCAATGTAGCGGTTTTCTGGGTGCTTTTGGGTGTGAACTAAAGCACTCGATTCCACAAAAAGAAATGCACTAATTTATTTACAACACAACCAACTTTAACTTCACCAGATAGCCATTTATGTACACCACTATTTATGTCTGACTACTTATTTACGAATTAAATTGGGGCGCTATACCTTCAACTCCTTCCTCCGTACTAGCCATCGGCTTATATATGCCGCATCCCAGATACTCTTTAATTCGAGGAAGTTCCTGTCCGACACATAGCAGCCACTCCAGAACCTTCGGGGTCAGTCTCGCAGCTTGCTTCGATGCCGAAGGAGAGTCCCTGGCGCGATTCCCAACAGATGGCGCTATTCATTCTTGTTACAATACTTTTCCACATTCTCGTAGTTCAACAAGTATGCGTAAGCATCTTATCGTCATTTTTGACCTTCAAAAATTGGTTGCACTTTGGTGAAATGTTCTAGGACCATATCTTGGGCAAGAACATATTTGTTTAAATAAGTCGTTTCTGGGATAAGCAATTAGCTTTTTACATAAACTATTAAACCGATTCGGCTGAAACTCACTAACACCAATGATGCTGTCATTCCCAAAAAATGTTAGCCATTTAGAATATTGTTATTGCAATAGTTATAAACATTTATTCAATATTGCTAAAATGCACTGTAATTGGCTCGTTAAATTGATTGTAATTCTTAAAACAAAATCTCCAGTTTACCGATTATTTATAAAATTTAATCTGAAAATCATACAAGCAAAGTACTGAATTATAGGCTTTTGCCATTGTTTATAAAAAATAACGCAAATCTGGCTGTATCTTTTTTTTGACCTTTTGTTTTATCTACCCTGGACTAGTTGAAGTTACAGATTTCGCTGGTGGTATTTCACAAAGCTTTAGTATCGGGTTATCTTTTCCTTGTATTTTGCAATAACACTTTTATTTTTTAGTCTCAGTTATATTGCAGATATATGATAAATGTACTGAATGATTGTTTCCTTCCTTTTCAGATATTACCTTCTAGCAGTAGACAGGCAATGGCATGCACCATGTCTAAAATGTTGTGAGTGCAAACTACCTCTAGACTCCGACCTAACCTGTTTTGCAAGAGATGGGAATATTTATTGCAAGGATGACTATTACAGGTAATATACAATATATACCACTAGATCGAATCGATAAATTGTACGAATTTAGTACAATCATACGCATTCCCATTCTCCCGGAAAGAGGAAGCTAAAAGCATCTATCACGTCTTACTTAAAGACTAACGTATCGCTAAATTAACGATATACGAGACTGCTAACAAGAAACCATGCTGGCAGCATTCTGTTCCGAATCAAAAATTGTTGCCAGCCTCATCGGAATCATGGAAATGACATAATCTAGTTCTGTGGAGTATTTTTTTTTAATAATAACCACCCAATTTCTTTAAATGATATGACTTTTCAACTGACACAATCGAAATTGCGAACGAGAGGTGGAGCCCTTTACTTAACAAAAAATAGTATTTATAATGGTATAAAAACATGGAATAAGAAAGCGTTAACCTTGACTTTTCAAACAGTATACATCCTATGTTGATATAGAGTGTAGTGCCCTCATATGAGCCACGTTATAAGCATAGCATATGCAATATTTTCCACAATTCTTGAACACAGGAGAGCGTGACAGAAAATATTCGCAGATAACTTAGCGGCATTCAAAATACAGCACAGAACAGCGGTGTACGTCGTACTGTAGCGCTCGTCCTAACAATGCTTATTTGTGAGCTATTTTCCATGATGTAAAGAGGAACATTTTGGTACACAATCAGAACTCTAATAATACTGACTGCATTTCACTTCAATTAAATATTTAGGGCCAATTTCACCAACACCAACAACAGTCCGTTATTCTCAACCAATAGGGTAACTGACCGTCAGATACAGCGAATGAGCTTCAAGTTCCAAAAAACAAATTTTAGCAACCAATAGCTATGAAATCTTGAAAACAAAATACTGTCATAGTATGAGATGACAACTTGTCATTGAAACATCACCAGCTTATTGAATATTAAGAAATTACATATAATTCAGCCAACATTTAAAGAAATGTTTGATGTTTGGTTTTTGAATTAAATTCATGTTTTAATTACTGTTGTTGATTTTTTATTCATGTTTATATAATTTTATTCAATTGATATGCTATTTTACTGATTCAACATACATACCGTGTGTTCTTTTCCTATAAACCTCTTGCAGATAGCCATTAAGCACCTACTTGATGACCGGCTCTACCAAAAAGTTCATAGATATTGCTCGTTTCCAAACATTCATTCCTTTACCTGCCGTTCATCAGAACCATTAGGGCACCTGAGATTGATATTCCCACAAAACCATTTAGGTCTTTTGATATCCATACATCCATAAAGTTGAATATTTTTCGTTGTTCAGGAACTTAACAAACATCCACACATTCTAGGTTACATTTATATCATGCTCATTTGTAGCAAGCGTGGAATGAACTATTTGCACACTAGTCTACTTAATTAATAAGTTGACATCTTATCGGTTTTTTACACTATATAGGTTTTTTACGTAATAACCTTTCCGGCCACCATGAATCATACATAACACAGCAGGGAGTATTTTCACTTCACGTGTTCCAGGAATGATTTTATAAAACCGATGGGTATCCAGCAAAAGTTAATTTCTGTAACAGCATATCAAATATCCCTCATTTTCACACGTCAGCGAAAACATCACCCTATCGTTTTCCACTCATTAACCAATGTTTACCGAAACTCCGTTTTATGCTTATTTGGTCGACAAGAGGCCCTTACGGGGTGGCTCAAATGCCCAGTATTGTGGCTGATCCACATGATTGGGGCAAACGTATTTTTAAGACACAGAAAATGACACTCCAATCCTTACTGAAACTCGAAGCCTGCATTTCCTGTTGATTAAATGTTTGATGAATACAGCATTATGTATTTAGTTACTTCTACATAACTATATCATCGTATTTTTGTGCAAATTCAATATATTCAGAACTATACACATGACATCAAATAAAACTCTTATAAAACTATGATTCCCCGCAAATGTCGTTTCTACTATGGCTCATTCATCAAAAGGTTCTGCAACACAAACAAAAGAAAATAATATAATCGGCCAGAAACCTTCTTGTTCTTTGGCCTTAACTCCACCATAATTGAACCAGTTTTCAAAAATGAGCATTAATTAATAACGCCACATATACGCGTAAAAGCAGAAGTCGATAATATCAAGATCGCGGATGGACGCCATCTGGGAACATTTTCTAAATGGAAGTGGCTCATGTACTACCTCATTTCGAAGCTCGTCTGAGTATTCTATAACCATGACAATAAAACCTGAAATCACCATCGTTCAAAACATCAGGCTGTCAAAGTTTTGCGTTTCGGTTGTTTTGTTGCCTCCGAAAGAGTATCCGAGATGAAATGAGATACCGTAGCATCATGTATGAGAACTTCGTCACAGATGTCGTTACCCTTTTCGCACTAATTAGGAGTACACTTCGAAAAGGTTAGTGTGTTGTAGATGGCGCGCAGTGTATGCTCATATATAGTTACAGTATAGCTACAGCGCCATCTATGAGACACTGACCTTTTAAAAGCAAATTTCTAATTATAGCGGATGGAAGCAAGATGGTTGAGACAAATTGTCGTAGATGACGTTCTGGAGTCTTATTTCAGTTCGGATAGTTTTTCTGACGCGCTAATATGATATTAGGTTAACTATTATTACGTGAAGAACGATAATCAATGGTATAACCTAACATGATACTGTTTTCCAAGTTACCTGAAAATGCATGCATACATACACTGACATACTACCAGACAGGGCGACAAAAATAGTTGACATGGGTTTTCGTAATCAAAATCATTGAGTAGATTCTCGCGAACACAATACTTCCCTTGTTTATATTCATTATTGTTTAGATGTCTTTGATTTCCTTTAGCTTCAGTAAGTTTGCTTGCTAACCTGAGAGAAGTAGAATTGCATGGTAACTTCATTTGAGATTACATACAAAAATAATGAAAAAAGGAACAGTCTCTAAGAGAATTAACTCTTAATGCTATCATGTGCTCAAAGTAAATTCAGCTAAATAAACACAGTTCAAGGGAAGGGTGCGCTCGGAAATAAACATTCTCTTAATGTTCCATCTTGAAAATTACTTTATTCTCACTTTGTTGCTTAACAAATGTTCTGACGAATAAAAGCTTTTCTTTAAAATATATAATATACGCTGCTCTCCGTTTAAAGCCTGTCACTCTGTATATGCCGAGTATATAAACATGTGGTGGAGGGTAAATATCAGATAACTGAAAATCACGCTGTTACCTGACACTTCCGACAATATAATGAGGGAATAATGTTTTCATGTAGGCGCCAGCTTCGTTTTGATACTATAACGTATACAACCCCATGGGAAGTTATGCGTGTATCTGTTATGAGAAATTGCTTCCTTATTCGGAAGTTTATTAAACTCGTGTGGGAAGTACTAACAATGCCGATACCGTTCAATTTGCATTTATTATGAAACATAATATATTTTTATTTATATACTCGTATGATTCCATTACATAGGTGCTGTTATGTTTTAAATTTCCGAAAAAAAGATAAATTTTGACGTTATAAACACACTAAAAAATCGATTTATTGGAAGTAAAACAAGGATTGAGATAATGTTTCGATACAAAACGCGACTCTCTATTTATCGCGTGTTTGTACGTTGATTGGCTAAGCTATTCAACATCTAGTTTTCAAATTCGAATATGTAATAAAATATGAGGCATTGCATTTATAGTACACAACTTCGATATATGGCTCAATTTTGGAACAACCTGTATAACGATAGGTCTTTCGAAATATGTCTTCAGATATGATGTACATAGATAAGAAATACTTTTTTGGAAAGCTATTATATAGAACCATCCTATGCTTGAAATACAATGTTCAAGTCTCAGTTATATTTTATTTCTTACCCAACTTCATCAGAAGGAGGGCTATGTTTTTCGCACGTGGATATGAATACATGCCAAACGGCTTGATGGATCTTGACGTATGATGGGTTATTGGATTTACCTCGGCAGTACGAGTGACACTGGCTGCATAAAAGATTTATCAAAACAAAATAGCAGATTTTCATGAATTCATGATATTATCCCTATGTCACTGACTACACATTGAGTGGCTTGGCAGATTTTCACATACACGTTTCTAAAGTTCTCTTAAAAGCACAGTTTATTAAATCTTCATTCTTACTACAGTCGGATTGTTTGTATTTTTTAAAATGTACTTGTTCATATAGAGAGATGGTTATCTCTTATATTCCCCGTTTCATAATCGGGAGTTGATAATTTTGTAGCCCTTGTAGGGATATTATCAATGAAGCATTATGTTGATTGCAGAACCATTTACGGTATACCAGACCATGTAGAAATGCAAGTAGAGTATTTGACAATGTCAGAATGCGTGACATGTTTCCATATTCTAAATACCTATAGCTCTACGTTTATCTCTCATCTATCTGCAGCATATAATATTCAAAACTCAAATTTGAAAGAGATTTGATAATAAAAAGTACTATTGACCTTCTAATCAGCGAAATCGTCGAAGCGAATCCTAATGAATTCGATACTGATATTGTATTCCAGCAAGACGGTGCTCCACCACACTACTATAGACAAGTTAAGAATTATTTAGATAATTATTTCCCCGGTCGTTGGATTGGCCGTCGAGGTCCTGTGGAATGGCCAGCTCGCTCGCCAGATTTGACACCTTTAGACTTTTTTTATGGGGCTATTTGAAGAAAAGGTGTGCGAAACTGAACCTGCTTCAATATTGGATATACGGCTGAGAATAACAAATATTTGTAGAAATATCGATGTTACTATGTTTGAAAATGTTCAACGCGAAATTACGGACCGGCTGTTATTATGTCAAGAAGTTCAAGGCAACCATCTCCAGCAACTTCTAAACTAAACTCAACGTATTTATTCGAATTATCAAGTTAAATGTCAATGTATTCAGGTAATTATTAAATGTACCACCATTTTGTAGTAGGTAAAGGTATTGACTTTATATTCTAGAGTTATAAAGTACTCGTCAGGAGTTTC